AATGATATGACTATACCTACAAGGTATGGGTGCACCTGGTACACCCGGAGTGGCCGGATGAGGCTCCGGAGTGATTCATTCACTGGGGAAATGCCATGAAAGGTAAACATAATAGAAAGAATGATCTCACCAGCCATAGGAAAATCGGGTACAACCGGAGCATCATCAGACGAAATCAAGGTATCCTCCGGACCAAGATACAAGTCGGGTCATGTAAAGGGCCAGTCCATCCGCCAGAGCCGGAGATGATGGATCTGGAAGTATGTGATGAATTTGCACGGAATATGTCATTTGAATTGGAAAACATACCGGGAATCACATTCAACACATCCAAACACCGGACGACCCAGAATCAGAGTCTAACTCATCATCCGGCCCAAGGTATATATCATCTAATGGATCTAAACCATGTCAGATCAATTGACTGAAATCAAAAAAAAAAACATACCAAGGGACATCCGGGACTGGGAGGACTCATCCACATCCATTGAAGTGAATTCAGTGACCGGAGGGTCATGAAATCTGAGAGCTGATGAACTGATGAACTGATTGATAACTGATAACGTCGAAGTTCAACAGATGGCCGGCGATTGCCGAAAGTTGAACCATGACCAAACAAACACAAACAATGAACATTTTCAACATGTCCTTCAATTGTATTGTTTCTTTGAAACTTCATTCTAGTGATAACAGATTTCACCCTGCTTTCAACATTCTCACATCTGTCAACTCATCCAAATGTCTACTCAAGTTCAATCTTCTTGGCCAACCTCAAGGCATCCACTGCTCAACTTGTGGGCATCATTGCCGCGCCCGGCACATCCCGGCCGGCTCAGTGGACGTCCACCTTGCTCTGACAAAGCAGGTCACCACTCTTTTGGTATGTTGAACTCATTAAATTAGTGTAACATTAATGTTTGTAATGTCCGGGTAGGCTGACATCATCCGGGCCTATGAGAAAGGGGAATACATCCCTGGAATTGTGGCGTCCTGCTCAAGGAGCTGATGAGGGTGCGTTCCATGACTCCCCGGGCATTGCCCAACTGGCACAGCATTGGCATGACCCCCGGGTGGCTAGACACGCCTGGCGCAAGCAAGTGTGGGAGGCGTTGGGTGACAATTCCTGTGATCTCCCTGTTGTCCCTAACGTTTCCACTGGCCCACTGACTGTCAACCTTCCGTCTCCACCTGTCCCTTCACCTGCACCTGTCCCTTCCCCCACCCCCGTCATTCCCTCACCTCCGGTCGTCGCCGGACCTTCCGGCAAGACGACCCCGAGGTCCGGGACAAAGGAAAAGGTAAGGCCACCTCCGTCGACCTGAGCCGGAAGTTGGGGGGAGCAACAAAGGAAGTCTCCGATGATTTCGGACACTCCTCCCAACCTCCAAAGTGGCGATGAAGGCACGCAAGCGTGTCAAGTCAAGTCAACTCCCAAGTCGAAGCCGTTTGTGGAGTCGGAAGATGATGAAGACCCAATTGTTCAGGTATGTGTTCTGGCTATTTGTGACATGCTCTCAATTTGTTGCAGCCGATTTTCGTGGAGTGCCGGAGGTCGTCCTTCCCCAGCGCTCCACCATTGTTGTAAGGAAGCCCCAGTCGCCTCGGTCACCCGGTTCCCCCAAGAAGCAATCATTTGGGCCTGCTTCGGTAAGTTTGATTTATCGTTTGGACTTAAATATATGCTCATGTGTCCACAGCTGACTGCCGGCAGTCGTCCGGAGGTTACGGTGAGTCGTTGGACTTGTGGACCTCCCATGTATAATTGTCACTCATTCCCATTACATTAGAAATCTCCCATCAGTCGTCCGGAGGCTCGCTCAGTCTCGGAAGTAAGTTAGAAGTTCTCCAGAAACTCATATGTGTATTAACAATCTGTCAGGCAACCTCCGGCAGTCGTCCGGAAGTTGAGGAGCCCTCTGAAGATACTTCCAGTGCTTCGGATGGTGACCGCCGGCCAATACCACATTTGATATCACCATTCCCGGCCCAGTGAGTACTCCAATTAATTCCCCTTCGTCCATCTACTAACGGATACCACAGAACAACCCCTGCCATTATTGTGTCAAGGAAATTGGCCCTGTGCGACTCGATTGGACAAGAGGACCAGTCTCCCCTGCTTGTCTTGCATCCGCTGCTCCACCAAGAAGATCAAATGCAACCCTGCATCTCTGGGATCCCCACCCAAACGGATCGAGGGAAGTCTACCACCGGCCGGACGCGTTCCAAGACACCTGCCCCTGCTCCATCCAATGCTCCTCTCCCTCCCGGTCAAGGGCCCGAACTCGTAGTCAATCTCGTGGCCCTTCCCAACCTCCGGCCATCCCTGCTGCAACTACACCCCAGGTGCAGTCACATGGTCGCAGCAAGACCATCACATCAAGAAGACACCTGCACCTGCACCTGCCTGCACCTGCACCTGTCCCTGCACCTGCGCCAGCTGGTAAGTCACCCAACTTGATGACCGGCTGACCTAATTTTTTACTTAGCAGTCAGGTCTTCCAGTGTCGCAGTGCCTCGTGCAGCACTCGATGTTCCCATGCCGGATCTCCATTCCATGGCAATGCGATTCGGGATGGTGCAGCTCGCATCGTATTCTTGAGGCGGGTGCAGGAGCAGGACTAAGATTGATACCCTGCAATGCCTCCATGAGAGCCTCCGGCGCAGTGATCGACCAGCACCCTTCATTTTCACTTCCGGACACACCGGCCGATGATCAATGTTGCTTGATCAAGGAGGTCCCCCCGTCCATGTCACCCCTCCCCTCCGCACTTTCCAACCTCATTGATTTGACATTTCAGTGATGGAACCCACACCCTTGACACCTGAGCATGGATCTGCTATGGTAGGTCCCATGGTTGAGCCCACCCAAGTTCAGCCTGAGGGTCCACAATCCTCCGGCGAAATTGTGCTCCCAGATGAACCAGGCAACCTCTGCCAGAATCCTCCGATATTGTGGTCCCTAATGAACCAGGTAACCTCCTGCCAGAATATGCTTCTTCTGATGAGGAGATGGATGTTGAGGGAAAGGTTGATCTTCCTGGTGAGGAGGTTGAAATGGCTACATAATTGCTCAGTGATAGATGTACATAAATCTTTTTCAATGCATACCTATGCCACAATTGAATGATTCAATGATCAGTCCTGATATCCAGAACTCAAAACTGTAGATTGAGGTAGATATCACCTGAAACCTGAACACCCAAATGTCAAATTCTCAGTGCCAAACCCGAGTCCCGGGTGCCGGGTGCCAAGTCCCAAAATTCAGAACTCAGGATTTGACATTTGAGACGAACGACATCTCTCAGATAATGTTTAAATCAACCTATGTATATCTGTAAACATTTTACTAACCCCCAATCCCCAAACTGAGATGTATCAACCCCTGAACCCCGAGACTGCCAGGTCTTGGGTTTTGGGGTTTGGGGGTCCCGGAACTCGGAACTTGGGGAACTTTGGGGAGATCAATAAAATTTGATTTACAATCAAATTGATTGACAAACACGTTGACTTACCCATGTTTGAAATATATTTTGTTTACACATACCGAGTTCCGAGTTCCGGACCCCCAAACCCTGAGACTGCCGGGTCTCGGGGTTCGGGGGTCCGGAACTTGGAACTTGGTATGTGTAAACAAAATATATTTCAAACATGGGTAAGTCAACATGTTTGTCAATCAACTCAATTGTAAATCAGATTTTATTGATCTCCCCAAATTAAATTTTCACAAGTTCTGAGTTCCAGACCCCCGAACCCCGAGACTGCCGGGTCTCGGGTCTCGGGGTTTGGGGGTCCAGAACTCGGAACTCGGTATGTGTAAACAAAATATATTTCAAACATGGGTAAGTCAATGTGTTTGTCAATCAATTTGATTGTAAATCAAATTTTATTGATCTCCCCAAAGTTCCCCAAGTTCCGAGTTCCGGGACCCCCAAACCCCGAAACCTGAGACCTGGCAGTCTCGGGTTTTGGGATTCAGGGGTTGGTACATCTCGGTTTGGGGTTTGGCACTGAAAATTTGACATATATTTTTGTGAGTGTTTCGCTTCTGGTGTCCATGCTTATAAATAGGATATGTTGCACACCAGGGTTCAGGTGTGGGGTTTTTCCACTTCAGTCCTCGATTATTGGTCAATGCCACACATGGTCGATTCATGTTTTGTGCTTAGGGGTTTAGATTTGGTGGTCGACGGTAGGTATATGCACTCATAGTGTACATGTATCCTACATGTTTGATTCGCTGGTGGCTACATCAGCTGTATGTCTTGATGGAACATATCTAGGCTCACCCATATATGTACCCATCTATGTACAATTCCCCCACATCAGCCCACCCATCTATGCATTATCCCCCACCTCGGCCCACCCATCTATGTAATACATCCTATGTTGGCCCACCCGTCGATATAATATACTCCACCTTGGCCCACCTGTCTATGTAATAAATTTTATTGCACCCTCGGCCCACCCGTATATGTAATACTTTTTCCACGTCGGCCCACTTGTATATGTAATACACCCCACGTCAGCCCACCTATGTACACTGTCGACTGCCAAAAATCTGTGAGAAGTTTGATTTAGAGTGTTGAGAGCCCATATTATATAAGCAGTGTTAGGGGGAAAAATCATGCTGAAATTGAAAATGATGAAGCTTCGAACTCATGCATTCACGGTGTTTCAAACAGCTCGACACACTTACGTCACTACACCATAGCTGCTTGTCTACTTATGAGGTTACCGAAGCATATAATTACTTCGTAGAATTCCGTCCCAAGATGTTCACGTGATACTTAGACCTGTGTGAACTAGCCCTGGATCGGACCGAATTTCCGCCGTAACCGAACCGATCTGTTGCCCAGGTCGGGATCTATGAGCTTTGCAGCGTACAAATTCATTTATGTGTCATGTCTATTCAAACTCGTATTTGGTAGTGTACATGAGCATGAGCTATAATAGAAATATCTAGGAAACTTATACTATTATACAGAATATGAATACAAAATCTATCGCGTCGGTTCCAACAGACATATTTGATCAAAACGAAGAGTGACAGTAACCGTAGGTGTTATATTGATCTTGACGTCACTGCTTTTGATGCTGCATGATGCTAAATGTCGGACAAGACCTCGATGAGGCCCATTCAGAATAATGCACTCTTGGTTTTTCTTGCGTGGAGGCGCAGGGCTCAGGTAAATGGCAGGGATATGGTAGTGCTTGATTGCAGCACCTGCACTGTTTGATGTGCAAAATGCTGCGACGCAATCCTCGGGCGCGGGTCCATTCTCGCCGCAGAAAGGGTCAGGACAAGTGGTTGATACAAATCGCTTAGATAGCGATGCGTCAAATATCGGCGAGACCTTCAGCATCGCGTGATATTTGAGGAAAACGGAAGAAAACTCTCTCAACCAAGGTAGTGGGCCTGTGATAAGTTAGTAGAGATCGTAATGGCCTTATTGAGAACTTACCGCTGTCTTTGAGTTGCTCTGCTCTAGCATCATTGTTGTCTTGAATGTCGAGCTGATCAATGGTCCACGCCTGGTGTGTAGACGAGATGGGATTGACACTCGATGAAGAGTCTTGTGTCACATCAAGACCGCCCGAGCTTCCGGACCATGTGGACCATCCGCTGGATGACGAGGGTATGGGACCTATGTTGGACGCCAAGGAGCTGGAGGGAGCTTTTTCGGGAGGTGGGGTGATGCTTCGACATGGTGGCGCCAAGTATGATTTTTTCCGCATGTCACAGAATGAAATTAATTCCGGGCCTTCGAGCATCGCACCATTTAGCCTCTTTCCGTACCTGAAAACCGTAAACATCACAGTTGATGAGGAAATGTGTGCCGCTCACTTATTGACAACGTCATACAGCTTAATTGTAGTGCGCTGCTGACCGTGCACAGCAACGGTGCAAGTCTCCAGGCCAAGACTGTACAGCATCACTCTGAAGCCCTTCTGGTGACCCCCAATAATGAAAACCTCTTGCCCGATATCCTTCTTGAAGGAATCCAACTCAGCATTGCGTACTTTGATGACAAACGTAATCGGAACGGTGATCTATTACAAGTTAGAGATGCTCGAATCGAGGTAAATCATACTTACTATCGAATAGTCCCCTTCACATAGCAGGGTCAAGCGAGCGTTTGGAAAGTCTACGCTTTGCACGACCCCTTTCGCGCCATGCTCCAGCCCACGGGCGACAGTCACGACGTCTCCTGGCCTGACATCGTAACCCTTATCCTTCGTGAATTGAAGCGTCTTTCTGAGGTCCGTCCGCTGGACAATTCCAGCTGGGACTAAGATACTCCCCAATGTGTCATCGGGCTCTGTACTGTCTGCAGTGAGAATATCCCGGAACCAGAGACAAGTGTCTCCCTTAGCAAACCAATTCACGACGCCACGTCTCCCCATATGTTCACCCTCCAGGACTTCTATATAATCTCCTATTTGGATAGAGTCGGACTCGAGGGGCTCGAAAAATTGCTGCGCCGGCAGGTGTGAATTCAGCGTGTGATTCAACGGTCGCAGATCTAAGTAGTATTTTGACACTTCGACCTGCACACCAAGCATTAGACGGTTAAAAATAAATCGTACAAGACTTACATGCTCGTTGGTAACACTTTGACAGACGTGAAAGATATCACCAGACATTTGGACTATGTTTCCTTCCAGACCTAAGTATGAACCGGCTATCACTCTGACAGCATCACCAACTCGAAAGATGCGGTCTATGTCCTGCAGTCGGACTTCGGTCTCTTTCAGATGTCCGTCAAAGGCGGATTCCAGAACGATGATCCCAAGAGCGTGGTCGGTAGAGATAACCGTACCGAGCTCCCCACGAAGGGAGCCTTCGACGACCCTCGCGCAATCGCCCGCCCGCAAGAACTGTTTCGAGAACGCGACCAGAGTTTTCTTCAGGAAGGGTTTGTTCCATTCGGAATCTAGGTGCATCCGAATGTCGTCAACGTGGGGGGATGCGACAATTTCTAATCGGTCGCGGGGAAAGGTTTTCAGTAGGAGCCCCTTGTAGTAACATTCTCCCTTGTACTTCCATCCTACTACTTGGTCATCATGAAGTAGGTCGTCCACGGTTTTATTTTTCGGGAGGCGAGAACGCTCGACAAGCGCTCGAGATCCTCGAGGCATAGGATAGGGAAAATCTCGTGCGACAATCAAGACCGCGACAGCACCGTTTGGGAGATTCTCGAAAACTTGTGCCAGGTCGCCCCTGTACTTATCCTTTTTAATCCTCACCCATGCTGGGATGGGAAATTCAAACTGTGAACGTTCGACGGCCTCATGTTCTTCTTGCGTGATACGGATATAGTCTTTCACGGCAAGACAGAGAGATGTGGGCAGGGACTCGGCGATTGTTTTGGGGCTGTCCGCCACCACGTACAGCTGACTTGCCACCCAAGCTGACACGGTAACCGGAAATTCTTTCTTCCGAAGGTGTGCCGCGATGTAGTCAGCAGTAGTTCCTACGATACAATAAGTAATATACTAGTGCACAAATCAAGAGAAACCTACTCTGAACATTGAGCAGGTACATCCTGTTTTCAATAGTGGGATCCTGGCGACCTTGAGACGAGTTTTGTGGATTCTGTTCAAACCGAGTCGCCATATCGTCGAAAGTTGCGGCCAACCTCTGTTTGGCTGACGGTCCCGGCAAGCGCGTAGCCTTCGGCGACTGCACAGACAAACCAACTTCACCGACCTCTTCCTCTTCCTCTTCCTCTTCATCTTCATCATCCTCCTCGGCCTCATGAAGGATAAACTTGTATGCGGCCTACATTTGTAGTTTAGTTTATTAAAACATAAGTCGAAACCTTAACTTACTTTCGATAATCTTCGTGACTTATGAACCTTTGACTTTGGCAAGCGGCCGACTGCCCTCGAGGCAGGTATACCCACGGAAGACTTTGCTGGTGAGTCCGGTATGTACATCTTCCTGATAACCCTAAGGTTCTTCAAGGATTCGGCGTTGTCGGCATCGCCGGAGAACAACAGACGTCTGGGTTCCACCCAGTCATCTTCAGAGTAGCGATCGCCGAGGTACGCTTCAAGCGCGTCGTTCGTCTCGGAGAACGACATAGATGTTGTCAGGAATTTTTCAAGTATATCCCAAGCACCATTATCGCACAGCGCCTGATTTCCTGTATGGTGTGCTCATGAATGACAATGTTTAGAATATCAAATTAAGATCACTTACCTTGAAGTGTGCAATGACGCTTTGGGGGCGGTTCCACATATTACAGTGACCTATTTCCGTATAATACGAGGGAACGGACGTGCATAATATCCCGTATGATATGGGCCAGCGGACCATGGGCCCATGATCAAAATATCCTCGACTATGACGGATGGGCCGGGAGGCAAATTATTCCCGATGGAGGCGGGTGGGCCCATGCAGGGGATATATAGAGTAGATGAGTGGGCTGATGTACATGAATATTAGGTAGACGGGTGGGCCGAGGTAGTTGGATATTATGCAGATGGGTATATTAAGGTAGATGTGTATGAGATAGATGGGTAGGTACTTGTTATCACATTCACGGGTGGGCCCAGACACATATTAAATTAGACCGGTGGGCCGAGGGTGTTGTATGGGATGTTGTATTAGACGGGTGGGCCGAGGGTGGTATAAAATATAGATGGGTGGGCCCATGTGTATCATAATTGTAAACACGATGGAGCTGAGGTAGTTGTACATCAACCAAATCAGAGGAGGTAATAAAATCAAAGTTACCAAGTTCCTGGAGCAGCAGGTGATCTCCTGACATGGCCTTTGATGGTGCACAGGTTGTCTTGCAAAATTTGGAATCCGGGGTGCGAAGCTTGTGTTACCCTATGAGAAGCCAAGTTCCGATTACCGACCTTTGGGTCAACCGTACTCAGAGGAGGTAATAAATCAAAGTTCCTGAGTTCCCGGAGCAGCAGGTGATCTCCTGACATGGCCTTTGATGGTGCACAGGTTGTCTTGCAGAATTTGGAATCCGGGGTGCGAAGCTTGTGTTACCCTATGAGAAGCCAAGTTCCGATTACCAACCTTTGGGTCAACCGTACTCAGAGGAGGTAATAAATCAAAGTTCCTGAGTTCCCGGAGCAGCAGGTGATCTCCTGACATGGCCTTTGATGGTGCACAGGTTGTCTTGCAGAATTTGGAATCCGGGGTGCGAAGCTTGTGTTACCCTATGAGAAGCCAAGTTCCGATTACCAACCTTTGGGTCAACCGTACTCAGAGGAGGTAATAAATCAAAGTTCCTGAGTTCCCGAAGCAGCAGGTGATCTCCTGACATGGCCTTTGATGGTGCACAGGTTGTCTTGCAGAATTTGGAATCCAGGGTGTGAAGCTTGTGTTGCCCTATGAGATGCCAAGTTCTGACCACCCAAATTTGGGTCAACCATACCGACTTCCAAGTTCCGGGACCCGGGAGTCGACAAATGAATATCTGATAACCAGCACACTTCCAATCAGGTAGTATTTCATTGAGCAATGAATCATCCAAGGGGTCTCTTATCAGACTCGGTAGTCAATATAGGCAAATGATAATGAAAACATGAAAGTTGTTATTATGCTATTTTTCAAACCCGAGACCCTGAAACCCATTGTTCAACATGTCCATTTTTCACTCACTGCACAAATCACCAAGTTTCGAGTGCCAAAGCGTGAAACTTGAAACCCAGTGTGCAACATGTCCATTTTTCATGTACATTACACAATTCATTGAGTTCTGAGTGCCAAGTGCCGAAACCCGAACCCCGAGACCCGAAAATATGTATGCAACATTTCCATTTTTCACTTGTTGCACAAATCACTGAGTTTCAAGTGCCGAAACCCAAAACTCGAAACCCGGCATGCAACATGTCCATTGTTCAATTATATTACACAAGTCATTGAGTTCCGAGCTCCGAGGGCCAAAACCCGAACCCCGAGACCCGAAAATATGTACACAACATGTCCATTTTTCACTCATTGCACAAATCACCGAGTTTTGAGTGCTGAAACCCGAAACTTGAAACCCGGCGTGCAACATGTTGATTTTTCATTTACATCACACAAATCATTGAGTTCCGAGGTCCGAGGTCCGAGACCCGAACCCCGAAAATATGTGCACAACATGTCCATTTTTTACTTGTTGCACAAATCACCGAGTTTCAAGTGCCGAAACCCAAAACTCGAAACCCGGCATGCAACATGTTGATTTTTCATTTATATTACACAGATCATCGAGTTCCGAGCTCCGAGGGCCGAAACCTGAACCCCGAGACCCGAAAATATGTACACAACATGTCCATTTTTCACTCATTGCACAAATCACCGAGTTTTGAGTGCTGAAACCCAAAACTTGAAACCCGGCGTGCAACATGTTGATTTTTCATTTACATCACACAAATCATTGAGTTCCGAGGTCCGAGGTCCGAGACCCGAACCCCGAACCCCGAAAATATGTGCACAACATGTCCATTTTTTACTTGTTGCACAAATCACCGAGTTTTGAGTGCTGAAACCTGAAACTCAAAACCCGGCATGCAACATGTCCATTTTTCATTTATATTACACAAATCATCAAGTTCCGAGTGCCGAGGGCCGAAACCCGAACCCCGAGACCCGAAAATATGTATGCAACATTTCAATTTTTCACTTGTTGCACAAATCACTGAGTTTCAAGTGCGGAAACCCGAAACTCAAAACCGGGTGTGCAACATGTCCATTGTTCAATTATATTACACAAGTCATTGAGTTCCGAGCTCCGAGGGCCGAAACCCGAACCCCGAGACCCGAAAATATGTACACAACATGTCCATTTTTCACTCATTGCACAAATCACTGAGTTTTAAAGTGCTGAAACCCGAAACTCGAAACCCGGCATGCAACATGTTGATTTTTCATTTACGTCACACAAATCATTGAGTTCCGAGGTCTGAGGTCCGAGACCCGAACCCCGAACCCCGAAAATATGTGCACAACATGTCCATTTTTTACTTGTTGCACAAATCACTGAGTTTCAAGTGCCGAAACCCAAAACTCGAAACCCGGCATGCAACATGTCCATTGTTCAATTATATTACACAAGTCATTGAGTTCCGAGCTCCGAGGGCCGAAACCCGAACCCCGAACCCCGAAAATATGTACACAACATGTCCATTTTTCACTCATTGCACAAATCACCGAGTTTTGAGTGCTGAAACCCGAAACTTGAAACCTGGCATGCAACATGTTGATTTTTCATTTACATTACACAAATCATCGAGTTCCAAGTGCCAAGGGCCGAGACCCGAAGCCCAAGACCCGAAAATATGTATGCAACATTTCCATTTTTCACTTGTTGCACAAATCACCGAGTTTCAAGTGCTGAAACCTGAAACTCAAAACTGGGTGTGCAACATGTCCACTGTTCAATTATATTACACAAGTCATTAAGTTCCGAGTTCCGAGGGCCGAAACCCGAACCCCGAGACCCGAAAATATGTGCACAACATGTCCATTTTTCACTCACTGTACAAATCACTGAGTTTTGAGTGCTGAAACCCGAAACTCAAAACCCGGCATGCAACATGTTGATTTTTCATTTACATTACTCAAATCATCGAGTTCCGAGTGCCGAGGGCCGAGACCCAAAGCCTGAAACCCAACATCATGTACACAACATGTCCATTTTTCACTCATTTCACAAATCACCAAGTGTCGAGTGTCAAAACCTGAAACCCGGTACTTCAAATGGACACAAATTGTATTTGTATGTATTATCCATTGGTGTAGGGCTCAAATAACCTGGGAATTGTATTTGTCAGTACTCGGTACTTGGGACTTGGGACTTGGTACTTGGTACTTGGTACTTGGTACTTGGCACTCAGTGATCGGTGGTCAGTGGTTGGTACTTGGGACTCGGTACTTGGGACTCGGTACTCGGTACTCGGTACTCGGTTCTCAGGACTCGGTACTCGGTACTTGGGACTCGAGACTCGGGACTCGAGACTTGAGACTTGGGACTCGGGACTCAGGATTCGGGACTCGGGACTCGGGATTCAGGACTCGAGACTCGGGACTCGGGACTCGGGACTCAGGATTCGGGATTCGGGACTCGGGACTCGAGACTCGGGACTCGGGACTCGGGACTCGGGACTCGGGACTCGGGACTCGGGACTCGGGACTCGGGACTCGGGACTCGGGACTCAGGATTCGGGATTCGGGACTCGGGACTCGGGACTCGGGACTCGGGACTCGGGACTCGGGACTCGGGACTCGGGACTCGGGACTCGGGACTCGGGACTCGGGACTCGGGACTCGGGACTCGGGACTCGGGACTCGGGACTCGGGACTCGGGACTCGGGACTCGGGACTCGGGACTCGGGACTCGGGACTCGGGACTCGGGACTCGGGACTCGGGACTTGGGACTCGGGACTCGGGACTTGGGACTTGAGACTCGGGACTCGGGACTCGGTACTTGGTACTCGGTGATTGGTGGTCAGTGGTTGGTACTCAAGACTCGGTAGTTTCTCCCTGATACCCACCAAAAAACCCACACCCACAAGGTGGGTGTGGGTATATCATGGGGTATGGGTGGGGGTAGTGCTACTCATACCCCGGGGTTCACCCACACTATTCCTTATCGGTACTCGGTACTCGGCACTCGGTGATCGGTGGTCAGTGGTTGGTACTCGAGACTCGGTAGTCAATATAGGCAAATGATAATGAAAAATGACAGTTGTAGTCCATGTCAAGGTGAGTGATTTGGTAGTCTTTCCTTGTCATTCAGCAAAACATCAGCAATAATGAAAAAATGAAAGTTGTTATTATGCTTAACTCCTTACCAAAGGTTGTAGTCCAAGTCCAGGTGAGTGTAGTGGTAGTCTTTTCTTGTCAATTGGTTATCTTGTTACTCATTACGCAGTACTTGGTACATGGTAATTGGTACTCAGTATTTGGTTTTGATACTCGGTATCTGGGAATCAGTAGTCAGCTTAATCAAGGTTGTAGTCCGAGTCTAGGTGAGTTTATTTGTAGTCTTTTCTCGTCCATTGGTTACCATGTGACCAAGATATAAGCTAAAGAAATCCAAAACATCAATAATGACAAATGAAATACATG